AGTTCGTCCACAACGAACACCATGTTCAAAACATGAGAGTGTCCACAAGTCCACGGGGCACCAGGACGCTCTAGGCCGCAGGTTGATGACCAATTTTGTAATCGTATCACCAGACCTTTGGCCATATGTTCTGGTGAAGGGAGCCACCAAGCTGAAGAAGGGGCCCTATCGGGCTTGGTTAGCCTGTGGGACTCCGGGGGCAGCTGATAGGTATCGACAGGCCAAGCGGAACGCGGCTCGGGCAGTGGCTAAAGCAAAAACCCAGGTGTGGGAGGAGTTTGGAGAGGCCATCGAAAACGACTTTCGGACTGCCTCGAAGAGATTCTGGCAAACCGTCAGGCGTCGTAGGAGGGGAAAGCGGTGCTCTACCTGCACTGTGTATAGTGCTGGTGGAGCGCTGCTGCTGTGGCATGTGTCCACTGGCACCAGGGTGCTGGAGAGGACAGTCCATCCGTTAGTCGGACCTCAGATACAGGAGGAACAATGCGGTTTTCGTCCTGGTTGCGGAACACTGGATCAGCTCTTTATCCTCTCAAGGATACTTGAGGGTGCATGGGAGTTTGCCCAACCAGTCTACATGTGTTTTGTGGACTTGGAGAAGGCATTTGACTGTGTCCCTTGGGGGTCCTGTGGGGAGTGCTCTGGGAGTATGGGGTGTCTGGCCCATTGCTATGGGCCATTCGATCCTTATACAGCCGTTGCAAGAGATTGGCCCGCATAGCTGGCAATAAGTCGGATTCATTCCTGGTGGGTGATGGGCTCAGTCAGGGCTGCCCTAAAAAACTGAGCCATAAACTCAGGGTGTGGGATAAGGATCGAACTGTGACTCCTCGTTCGTGGGAATTGCTGAATTTGGCACCTCCAGCACCAACTCATGTCTTTCATTAACCACGCTCACCAGAGAAACAGTTTCAGCCTCTTCCCATGCTTTAAGGAGGTTGAGGTAATATACCCGTGTGGGTCCTCCCCTGTCCGACTGTACCACTTCATAGTCTACGTCCCCCACTCGCAGTGTGACCACGAAGGGACACTCGAACAAGTGAGTAACACAAGCACTTTATCTCCCAGTGAAAACTGCCTAACCCTCTGTTGTACAGGCACTGCTGACGTTCCTGGGCCTGGAACAAATTTTCTCATGACAATCTCCCCAAAGTGTGCAGCTTTGCCCTCAGGCCCAGAACATATTGACTCTCATTTTTAGCTGGGCTTGAACATGGCCTGGGGCACCTCCCACACTGTAAACAACAGAGGGTCTAACTAGTGATCACAATTGCGTTCAGCTGGTGCCCACCAAAGCCTGGCGTATACCTCCATTGCACCTTAGTGGAATGCTGTACATCCCTTCTGGATTGGGGGAGGGTGACCTGAGACACCTGAGACACTCCTGTCCACTAAGGTGCAATGGAGGTATACGCCAGGCTTTGGTGGGCACCAGCTGAACGCAACTTTACAGTATAATGTACCTTGATGGGACTTTTGTTGTGATTGGGCGCTATGGAAATAAGAATAAATTAAATAAGAATTAAACTGAAATGTTTAACAAGTCAGCAGTAAATGATAAGTATCTGACTTGTTTGTTGATATATTTACCAATTAAGAGTACAAAATGATCAAGATCATTTTACATTTTTGAGCAAATTATATTAAATGTATAATTGATCTAAAGTCAAAGAACATTTTTAAACTGTGCTCATCAGCCACTTGGGTTTTGTGTCAAGTGTGTGAGACCTTCCAGGAAAGCCCCTGAAATGCAAATAAATGGCAGCTACAAACTTCATGTGTGTCCCTGAAGTTTGTAGCTGTCATTTACTTCTCTGGACTAACAAGTGCAGCAGGGAAAAGGTGCTTGTTCCTGACCTGTTCTAGATTATTTGTAAATGTGGAGTAAATCACTTACAAAGCGTTCTTGATTCCATAATGTAAAGAGTAAATCATTCCTTCCATACAAACATGTAACTGTAGCATTCATTGATGTTCTTCCCTGTTACAGGTCACTAAACTGAAATTGTGTTACATTCTTGTTTTTATGTGGAATGAACTCAAATAACCTTTTGGTTAATCACGTGGGACAGCTAGGAAAGAATTTGTATGACATTCAGCTGTTTTTATGAACAGTAATAACACTATGGAATCACATTGTGGTTGTAAATATTTTGTACTTCAGACTGCAGGATTTTCTTCCTTTCAGCTGATTGGTTAATGTCATGTCAGTCGCAAATTTAACAATCCAATCAGAGAACAGATGGGTTTGGCTCCCGGAGGACACTTTGCTGAGCATCAGGTCCTGGAAGGTTTTGGAGATGGAGGAGCGAGCTCACAGCACTGGTCCTGGGTCAGCCCTGACTTTGTGTTAAAGTAATACTAAAGTAATAATGGTAGTTCTGACCACTGGTATACCACAACTTTATCCTTTCAACAGCTACCAAAAGGTATGGGACCTAGCTTGTATGAGCCTTTTGGGATATATATATATGTATATACATTTTCAAAATGTATGACTCGTCTCTCTTCATGCATGTCCTTCAGGACAGGACAAACAGGATGGCAGAATGTCCTTCACTGTGCCCGAGTATGGAGAACTGGCAAGAGAGAGAGTTTGATATTTTGTGACCCTGAGAGGTAAATTATAGAGAAATTGAATCTGTATATTTCTGAGCTTCTTTACTGGAATGTCATTAAAATGGTGGCAAAAACTCGTGTCTTCAACTCAGCTGCAACGTGCCACAATCCAAAAATTGTAAAGTACACCACCAGCTGAAGTGATACCAAAATGGGTGTGTGCCAGCACATGCAACATAATTTTTAGCGTGAGCATAAAAACATCCTTTGAAGTACAAGTAAGAATTATTAGGTGCAAGGCGACCCGACTATATTTCCTAATGAAGCAATAAAGTTTGGCACGAAGGTGACAGACTCACTGAGAAACGGCCTCAATAGAAAGGTGGCTTACATTCTCAAGGAAAGGAAACCGGCTGAAGTGGAGCTCATGAGCTTATTAAAATTGATGGAATTTTGAAAGCAAAAAAATACTGTCAGATTTTGATCAACCATATAAAACCATCTGAAAACATCTGGCACCGACTTTTCACTATGACAAGAATCCCAAAGAAACTGCCAATGTGTTAAAGCTATCGGTCATGGATTGGCCTGTCCACAGCCTCAACACAACTGAAGCTCTGTGGGTTCATCGTGACAGACAATAGAACAAAAGCCTGTCACACAGTGAAACACTATCCCAGCTTACAAAGGGCAGGTCGGGTATACCCAGAAGATTTCTCCAGTCTGTCACAGTTTACAACCAGTGACATTAAATTCATTTAGGTTAATTTAGTTAATGTTTCAAAATATATTGTGAAATATTATGAAATTATATTTGATTAATTTTGAAAGTGCAGAGCCAAACAAATGATTTAATATGATTTTGAGAAGTTTGATGCATGTTTTTTATTCCTCAGTTTTCATAGAATTAGCTTTGTTTGTTTTTGTGTTGAAAAATAAAAGAAACAAGATTGTCGGCAAATGACAAGAAATGTCAATACTTAAATGTGTTTGAGCAGATTTAGGTTTAAAGGTGTTTACAGATAGTTTGCAAATGTAAAACTTGCTTCAGGAAGAAAACATGTTTAATGTAAGGAAAGAAAACAGTGGAGAGAAAATCAGTTGTTTTGTTGACGTCTTCATCGAGGTTGTAATCAGATAGTGACATCATTCTACTTCTTCTTTGCAACCACAAGAGGTCACTTGCCAAAAAACTGTAGTCCTGCTGTTTGTTTTTGAAAAAACGGCTTTCAGGAAAGCTGTGGACGGCCCATTTAGCTCCACCTCACTGTGTTACAGAAAGAAAAGGGAAGTTAAAAAGAACATCTGGGAACCCGGGAACAGCGTGATGAACTGAAATGTGGAACATCTAATACCAGAGCTTTGATGTAATTTAGTGTGAATGAAAAACAATAAGGTAAGCAGCATATGTTTCCCTGAGTAACTTTATCCAGGTGGAAAGCAGGTGCTGTGTGTGTGTGTGTGTGTGTGTGTGTGTGTGTGT